ATAGGAAACTATTCGGCGGAATCAACTGTCACTGCTAGCTCCGCACAATCGTTTTCTATTTTTATTTTTCTACTTTTTTACTATTTTTCTGTTCTGCTCAGTCCCACAGAGGGAGCGAGCAGAACAGCCGAGCCGAATGCCGCTCAGCGGCATTCGGCTATTCACTCACTGCTGCTCGGCATCTATAAGAATAGACTGAACAGCAGCAAGTAGCCTGCCGGAGGTTCGGCTTAGCCGATCCAGATGTTGGATCGGCTGAGTTGAACTCCTTCTGCACTTCGGGCCGACCCGAAGCCACCCGATGTACGGCTGAAATCAGCCGTACCAGCCTGAAGTGAATAGCCTAACAGCGTTCGGCTCACTTCACTTCGGGTCGGTTATTCACTCGGCTGCCTTTGGCAGCTTAGTGAATAGACCTCTAAGTCATAGGGCACCTCCCTGGAATGAGCAGGGCACCTCCCTGAGATGACTTTTTTCAGGTTGGGATCCCTGCTATTATTTCAATATTTCATTGTTTTGATGTTGTATTTTTACCTTTGAAAATAAAAAATGTTTGAAAGACAAATGAATATATCTTCTAATTAATAAGTGAAATTCAGTTAACATACCTTTTAGAAAGTGCTCCAAAGAATAATGTACACATTGTGCTCCATTTATTCCGTCCCAAAAAAATCCCATATATAAAGAATAACTGTAGAAAGAAAAGATGTACAGATGTTACTTTGCAAACGCAAAGTAGTGTCTGCTCAAAGTGTTTACTCTATCGCCCCAGAAGCTTCTGAAATAAAATGTAAATGTCATCAACACTACCAGGAAATAAAGCATTGATTTAATTATTCCTGTACAGCATGTTTACGAATGGTGAAGACATATGGTATATTAATTTTGTTATCAGCAGTAGCTGGTGTTCTCAGGCTTCAGGTTTTGCATATATCATTGCGATTATGATCCTGGCTAGAAATAACATAAAACCTTCTTTTCGAACAATAAAATGTCAACTGTAAATAAAGCTATGAGATTTGCATTTTCTAGCCAGTGCTGAAAAACTCAGATTACGGATGGTAGAATGAAACAAAAAGTAAAATAGAGGAGACATGAAGCATGAGCTCATGCCTATCAGTCAGGTTTCATCAAGTAAATAAAGGAAATACATGTTTGTTTACATATGATTGGGCTCTACAAATGCTTTGGGGGATGATTTCTAAATCATGGTATTCCCACCAGTAGATGGAGCAGAAGAACGTGAGAATTACCAATGTTCCTCGGCTCCCTCTAGTGGCAGGAATGCCATACAAACAGTCCTCACCCAGCGTATGGCTGGTGGAATTTCTGCTAAAAAAATTCTGCGAAAGCCCAATGGAAGGGTAGTCTTTTCATATTCAGTTCAGCTTTAATGTGGAACTAATGTGGTGAAAAAATAATAAGCAGACATGCTCTTGGAGAAGCTTTACCTTTTTTTCCTGTACAGAGATTAAACAGGACGTTAGAAGAAATCTCTCCAAAGTGAAAAGAAGTTCCCTCTTGGCAGGTGTCCCCATTGGAAGATTTCCCCCTCTGTTTCTGTTTGGGTCACAACTGTAAAATTTTGCACTTCTTATCATTTTTTAGTCAACAATGGTCACCAGGACAGGAATAAAAACCTCACAGAAGGTTCAACACTTCTCCACTTTCCAAAGTTAAGCAGAAATATAGCCAGGCATGTGAATAATATTGGGTTAGGCTAGGCAGCAGAAGGGAATTATTTGCTCCCAAATTCTGACTATATGCTTTAGGCCTGGTTCACACCTGGGCGTTTTACAGAGCCTTCCTACACGCTGTAAAACGCCAGCTGGCTTCCTGGCCAATAAGAAACCTGTGGGTCGGGTATTGACTCGCCCCCCGGCTTCCTGATACCACTAGTTCCGGTAGCGGGAGCATTTGGGTGAGTACTCGGTATTGGTACCGATACCGATACTAGTATCAGTATTGGTGCATCCCTAATATACTTCATATGCATGGTGGTCATATGCAAGAAATTGATGAGAATTTATAAAATGTCCAATGCTTAGTTATAGGTGCCAGGAACTTCATACTGCCGGACACTGCAGACACCATTCTTTAAAAAACATACAAACATGTTACTGAGCACAAATATAGTGAGTCCATATTAATGTCGTCCACTAGCAAAGATCTATATCCTGAGCATGTAGGCTTTAAAGAACTCAGTGAAAAGAAAAAAAAACGTACCCCCGGACTGCAAAGGTCAAAGAAGTAAAAAAACTAAGGTTTACTCACCCAAAGCTCTAAACTTGCTGCTGCTTAGCCCGGACCTTCCAACGTCTCTCCCCCTCCCCCCGTAGGACTCTGAGGTCCTGTAAATCATCACATTCTATACATAGTGTATAGATGTGAGGATGGTGAGGGAAAATACAATGCTGAAGGGAGGAGGAGACAGGCTGGAGGGAGCGCTGTGACAGCTGGCTGGCTCAGAGCTTTGAGTGAGTATATCTTTGTTATTTTAGCACCTAGACATAAAACAGGCACTTAATCCTTGCAGTATGGGGGGGGTAACCACACTGCAAGAGTTAATTTTAACAAATTCCTGGAGTTCTTCTTGAAGTGCTCGTTTTGTCTTCGGGACTCAAATAAAGCAAATATACTCAGTCCAGCCGACTCCCTCCAAGCTGACAGACTGGTCCCTGCAGCCTCTTCTCCCCTTCACTATGGTGGTCTAAGGACCGATGACATCATCATGTTTTATTACAGATACCTCCTCCCGTGAACGTGTGCGCGTCAGTCGCTGACAGTGGAAAGCCAAGGCTTTACACACATCGGACTAGTTCTGTGTCCTGTGATCGCTGTAATTGCTTATCACAGTGATCACATGGTGATATATTTGCTTTGCTTTGCCAAGCCCTCCCCTTCCTTTTACATCAGAGGCAGGAGAGAGTGATGCCCCGTTCACATTGAGCGATTTATCGTGCGGTAATTCCCGCGATATCGCGGCAATTTACCGCGCGATATCGCTCTCCAATGCTTCTCAATAGGGCAAAGGGTCCTGCTGTCGCGGGTCGTGTGTCGCTACAGCAGGACCCTTTTTGGAGCGGATTTAGCCGCGATTCAAGCTTGCTCAATGCAAGCATTTGCGTGATATTGCGCAAAATGCAAATCACGCGACAAACGCGCGATGTGCGAACCGCTCAATGTGAACGGGGCCTAAAGCAGCGGTTCCAAACCTTTTTGGCACCTGGGACCGGTTTTGTAGAATTTTTTTTTGCATGGGGGGTGGGGTGGGGTGGATTGGTTTCAGGATGATTCAAGCGCATTTAGCCCTCATTCACACTGGAATCGTCCGGAATGTACAGCTGTGTGCACGGCCTTATCGGGCAGCTCCTTGGAAGGACAGGTGCTGCGCGTGATTAGTACGCATCCCCCGTCCTTCTCTATGGGACTGCGTGGCCATACACCCCCCTACGATCACCTCAAGTGCAGGTCCGTGCAGGTGCGTGTTTCCTGGTTAGGACGCAGACAGGATCCATCCTGTCAGCGTACGAGTACGCTCACCAGCACAGACGTGCAGGGTGGGTTAGCGTAGGGCGGCGTACGGCCGCATAGTCCCATAGAGAAGGACAGGGGCTGCATACTAATCACACGCAGCACCCGTCCTTCCCGGGAGCTGCCCGATACTGCCGTGCACGCAGCACAGAGCTGTACGTGCTGGCCTTTTCTAGTGTGAATGAGGGCTTATTGTGCACTTTATTTCTATGATTACATTGTAGTATATATATATAATTATACAACTCACCATAATGCAGAATCATTGGGAGCTCTGAGCTTGTTTTCATGCTCTCAGATGGCCAGTTGAGGCTCTCAGGTGGTCAATGGGGCTCTCAGGTGATTAGTGGTGCTCTCAGGTGGCCATTGTGGCTCTCAGGTGGTCAGTGGAGCTCTCATGTGGCCAGTGCGGGCTCTTACTAGGTGCATGGAGAGTCTCATTGGCGGCTATGGTTGCAGTAGACGCAGCTCTCTAAGAAAGCAGTTATTAAATACCACTAAAAAAAAGCTCTATGAGCTTTCTTGGTAGTGGTCCCCAAAAAATGAGATAAAACTAATTTTGTTACAGTGTTGCATAATGAAGGAATTCTCACCCAAACTTGCATAGTGACATGCTGGCACTGAAGTGGTTAAAATGTATGTCAACGTGAACAATGAACTTCTATTTATTGCTCCGTATTTGTCTGCTAAACACACCAATTAAACCATTTTGTTATATCTGTTCAATAAATGGAAAAAAATAAAAAATTACTTCTAACTAGAGCCTTGTGTTAAAGGCACGGTATTCATGCATTTAGTGCTCTCTACCGCACAGTGCAATGCACCACCTGCTAGGTCCCGCACATTGCCAGTCATTCTGAATGGCATCCAAACAAATCTCCTGTCATACGGGTCTGCCATAGCTGCCTTACTGCGAGGTGAAAAAAATGGTGCAGGGAGCCATTGAAGAATGGCGATGCAATGCACCAGTGCATTTAGCATGCAGAGCAGTGCGATAGCATGCGTTAAACGCACGAATGCCATGCCTTTGGCTTAACGCTCAAGCTTGAACTGGCTCTAAGAAAATCTTTTAGCACTCTTGTTTTATTTATTTTTACAAGCTTTTTTTTACTGAATGTACAACTTTCCCTTCTCAGCTATGCCCATACAAATTTTGCCCGTATCCAAGATGGCCGCTCAGTTTACACTGCTGCTGACGTCATGCCTCAGGAGCACAATCCAATGAACACGTACGAACATAAAGGGTCCTAATGGGTCTTTCCGTGCCGGGTGCGACTAATAGCGCCTGCCAAAAAGGGAACTTATAATGCTCAGTTTTCCGAAGGCTATGACGGATGGTAAATTAAATTGCATCAGAGTATGTTACAGTGAAGCAAGTGTGATGAATGACTTGTCTCACTATTGCAGTTATGCAGATGAAATAAGTCAGGCATATTCTCGGGCAGCCCTGCGCTGGTGAAGCCTGCTGTGGTGACGTCTGACTTGGTGTGGCAGCAGCTTCTGTGAAGTGAGTGAAGAGAGGCGCTGTGTGCGGGGCGCAGTCTGTACAGGATGTAAGTAATGAGCGAGGGTTGGCGGTGCTGTTCTATGTGTGTGGCAGATGAATGGTTGCGGTTATATTCATTGTGACACTACAGGAGAGGCATACAAGGGGCCGGTCTCCCCAGAAGTACTGGAGCTCCCAGCTAGTCCTGACATCTGCTGCTTTAGAGTCGCACTACAGCTGGAGACACCTCTGGGGCCTTCTCATGTCCTGAATGTAATGAACCTATTAGGAAGGAAGCTGCCATTGCTGTGTGCTCACGGGCTGTCATCTTTCTCCTCCCTTTCCTACTTGTTGGGACACTAAGGATAAGTATGACAGGTCCAGATCCTGCAATTTATCAATGGCAACCTCAGGGCCAGGTCACACTATGGGCTGTATTAAAGAGGAGAATTCCCATCACTTTAAGAGAGTTCCTCTGACTTCCTGTTTTGTTCCTGAGACAGTAAGTGAAGAGAAAATTCCTTAATAGTACACAGACAGCAAAAAAAGATCCTGGCAAGAGTCTAAAGGCCAGCTCTGGGCCGGATTCCTTTCACAGGTTTTAAGCAGACACACCTTCTGCTTCCACAGGAGGACATTACTCTCATGCAGACATATCTGTGTCCTGCAAATCATTTAGGGCCTGTTCACATGAGATCAGGTCCTGATCAGCAGACGTGGAGCTGCTGATGCATTGCGTTTTGGATGCGTTCCAGCATTTATTTTTTTTTGCTGGAGTGGGGCTGTTAGTATGTTAGCTGCAGCGCAGTGCGTTTTTTACGCGTTTGCGTATCCGTTCCGTTTCCGGACCTGACAAAATGTGACATGGAGTATTTTTTCTGTCGTAAGCTGAACGGACTGCGCACATGAGAACTGGAGCCCATAAAACACATAGGGATACATTGGGATGCATTTTGAGTGCAGCAGCGTACGTAGCCGGTCAGCACACAAAACGGACGTCGTGTGAACAGGCCCTTAGGGGGTTATTCACAAAGGATTAAGCCGTATCTTCACCTGCGGGAAGCCCTTTGATCAGCCCCTCGCTTCAGGGGCCCCGTGGAAAAGCACGCTGATGGGGACAAGGGCCTCTTCACAACCCTGACTTGGTTGTGAGGGTCTGCAGGCAGAGGGGTGTATTTGTGTTGCGGTACCCCTTTAAAAAAGGTAAATAAACACACCAGACTTTTGTAAAATCAACTTCAATTTAAAAAAAACACATTGAATTAAAAAAAAAAACCCCCCCCCCCTCCCCCAAAAAATGGTCCAATGCTGCAATCCACAGATCAATTAAGTTGACTGACTGGTGGGGAAAAAAACGATGGACTCCCAGAGCTAAATGAGCAATCTGGCAGTTGCAGGCCAAACGTAAACGGATGATGTCACGGTTGGCTCCGCCTATCTGTTGACATTCGGCCGGCACCTGTCAAATCGCTCTTCAAAGGTCTCGGCCAAATAAAACCAGATGGGCAGAGCCAGCCGTGAGGTCCTCCTGGGCAGCTTCCCCCAACCTTTTTGGTACTAGGGACCAGTTTCGTAGAAGGAAATGTTTCCACAAACCATGGGACGAGGGGGGGGGGGCTAGTGATTAGTGTGCGGCAGATAACATAACACACTGCAGACGGGGAGGCCAGGCTGCTGTGGGTGTAATATGAAGGGAGGACATGTAGGAGATGGCTGCACACACTATTGGGGTCATAACCTATTTGACAGGAGGGAACTTCTTGCACTCCATGGAGAGGCCTCGCAGGTCGCTCTGCATGTTCTCCAGCGGGGGGCTGCTGGTGGAGGCAGCCATCTCGCCAGCTCGGGATCTGTGGAACCCAAGCTACTAGGGACAGCACCCAGAAGCCAGGCCTCTGCACAGCCCTTTCGCCTCCTATAACATGGTGCAGAGTTGTCAGCCCTTCCACTCGGCCATCACTCCCACAGTCCCAGTCTCTGCACTGACACGGCCACACTGCTCCACTCGCCACACTGCCCTGCTCTCCTCCTCCCTGGCCCTGAATGGGGAGCAGTACTGCCAGCGGCTGGCCCGGTTCCTTACAGGCTCTGGGTTTGGTGACCCCTGCTCCTGGGGAACCAGAAGGTGTGTCTGTTTGAAACCTGTGAAGGTAATCCTGCCAGGAGTTGGGCTTTAAAACTCCTGCCAGGACATCTCCCGAAGTGATGAGAATTCCCCTCTTAGGGCTCAAGCACACGAGTTTATGAAAAAAGCTGCAGCGTTCAGATCCGTATAGTTCTTTTTATAGAGGCAGCATTATTGTATATCGTAAGCCTGCACACACAGCTGTGTTGTGCTCAGTAATTGTGTGCTATGAAAGGCTGTGTAAAATCAAAGTAGAAAATTCCTCATCCACAGTCAGTGTTTCTGCGTAATTTACGACTGTACGCATGGGACTGAAAACTAAGCTAGAGGAATGGGAGAAGAATTTCACAGATTTGATAGTTTTACAGATGTTTGCATCTGGATCTGTGTACGCGGAAGCATATAGTCTCTTGTTATACAGCTATGTCTTGTATCAGTTTTGGTGTCGCTTGAAGGAATTGCATCGCTATAGGCTGACAGACTCTGTGCTCTTTCTCAGCACCCATGTACTGGTGAGCAAGGCTGCCGACATGAAGTATAAACTTCCATTGCTCATCTCCTCCTTGGCTTGCAAATTGATTTCTTGCAGCTTTGAGAATAACTAGACACTTCTTTTATTTGTAAGACCTGTTCCCTTTGATTAGCTACACTCAGTGGCTTATCAAAGGAAGATTTAAATGTACATCGCAATCAGCAGAATTCATCAAATGATATTTTTATGTAATGATGCAGCTGATTGAAATCTTCAAAAGGTATCGCTTTAGAATAGACAACTGGCATTTATGCAAAACTGGACGCTGCTATATTAAAACTGGACTGCAGGCAAACGGCTACATTCATGGATCAGATGCATATAAGAGAGATGTTTTGCCTGCCAAAGAATTAGTCCACCTAGTCTGCCGAAATTCGCACAGTGGATGATGCTGTCGGCACCCTTTTGGCCGGCATCCCTGGATCAGCTGATTGAAGGAGGCGGTCGGAAAATCTTTGAACAGCTGCTGTCGGGGATTCTGACAGCGACTGGTGGCCACCGTCAGACTACAATGTAGACAGCGGGAGATTCCTCTATCAATACTCTTAAGACATTGATGGAGGAATCTGTTATATTTTCTTTATTTAGCCGGCAGGTTGAACGAAGAAAATATTACAGTGTATGGGCAGCTTTACACAGCTCTGCCTCACAGCAGAAAAATTATAACCGCTGTCATATTTTTCTTTCTATTTTTTCTAGGGATGCACCAACATTTCAGCTGAGAATGGTACTGTGGGCAAAATTGCGAAAATACTGTAACGGCTGAAAATTCCGTGCATCCCTAGCTTGTCTCCTCCCCGCTGTGTCATCCCTCCCCCCGATGCCTGCTTTCGGGACCCAGTCACACCATCAAGTGTGTTCCAGTGCATTCGGCCTTTGGAACGCAACCCGGCCGGCTCACTTTGTTTTGGGGTGGGAGGGGGCATGTCGGTGCATTGAACTCAATGGCACCGCAGCCACGCCCGGGGTGCGATCGCCGGCACCCGAACGCGTGGCACATTAGTGTCTGCGTTCCGATCCAGTGCGATCTGCAAAAAATGCTGCATGCACTATTTTTTGCAGATCGCACTGGACCGGAACGCAGGCACTAATGTGCCACGCGTTCGGGTGCCGGCGATCCCACCGTGGGTTCACCGTCACGCCCCCTCCCGTCCCAAAACAAAGTGAGCCGGCCGGGGTGCATTTCAGAGGCCGAACGCACTCTTGATGGTGTGACAGGGCCCTCAGGAGGCCGAGCGGGGTGGTGTGAGGAGGAGAGAGCTGTCACAGGAGGCCGAGCTCTCCTCTCATACCGCCCCTTGCTTGGCCTCCTGTGACAGGCGAGTCAGGATGGGGAGCGGACTGATCGCTGAGTGTTTGTAAATAACAGAGGACATAGTATACTTACTCTTTTTTCTCTTTTAAAAGCGTAATGTCTGTTTAGATCTCTAATATTTCCTCAGGGGCCCCCAACAGTACAGTAAAAAAATAATAATAATAATTTCAAATGCTTTATAAAGTTTTGGGGTGAAAAAAAAATCATATTTTTTTTGGCCTGATAAATTTTTTATTTTCGGTTTTGTTCTAACAATTCAATTTCGATGCATCCTTAATTTGTTCCTATTACTGAGATTTCCTTTCTTTCTATTGTAATTCTGGAACCAGACAGCAATAAAAAGCTGATGGAGGTTCTGATCCTTTTTCCACTAGCTAAAAAGGTTGAAAAAAAAACGTTTTGGGTTCAGTTGCACTTAAAGCTGACATTTACCCCCTTTCACTAAACATCACATCCACATGTAGCTCTGCATGCCGATATGAAATCATCTTACTTTCATTAGTTAAACAAACATATTTTTTTTCTTACAATTATTTGTATTCTTTGCATCTCCCCATTCTTCTCAATGTAGCCATTTTTTTTAACTAAGGGCAGATTAATATATCCCCTTTTACTTCCTGGAACTCTGGCACATGTGACTAGGACATGTGACCATGCACATCATCTCAGGGGAGGAAAATGCCTCTCCCTGAGATTACAGATGAGATTTCCTAGCAATTCTTTGCTGGTGTAACCTTCCCAGGATGCAGTGCTTTTGCATTTATATCATGTGTGCCAGAAGTGGACCAGGAAGTAGAAAAACAATAATTGTAAGTAAAATAAAAATATGTTTGTTTAGCTAATGAATGTAAGATGATTTCATATCGGCATGCAAAGCTGTATGCTGATGGGATTTTTAGTGAAAGGCTCCGCTTTAAATGCCAGCTCCTTTCAAGGTTTTAGCACATGTGTTTAGAATTGTAGTAGAAAATAAATGTCAGTAAAATATATATTTTGTTTTCAATCTTAGGTCGAAGGTAACTTTTAAAATTATACAAACCGCAGATCCCCGGCTTCCTTACAAAGTGTAAGTTTGTTTATTTCATTTATATGTAAAACGAAAAACTTACTAAATGTGGGGTCAGATTTGTTTTTCTTTTCCTTGGACATTATTTAGGCCAGAGGTAGACAAACTGTTAAGGAAATCAGGAGCCAGCAGGTTTTTTTTTTTTAGGAGTCAGCTCCATTGACAACAGTTAGAGAAAACCTCAAGCATTAGGAGGCGGGTGACATTTTTAGGGTATTGGTTACCTTGTTCCCGGGATTTGTCCAGGCCTGATTTAGGCTGTTATTAAAAAGCTACACAGTGTCCTATTTGCTGAGATGTGAAATATTATTGGAAATTTTAAGGGAACACCCCAACGAAATTAGGTGTAAGAGTCAAAGCACATAAACTGAGCTAAGTGTGTGTTTATCTAACCTGAGAATTATTTATATTTATATGGTTGGGCCATCCAGTAGACCAGGGGCAGGCAACTTTGGCACTCCAGCTGTTGTGGAATTACAAGTCCCATGAGGCCCAAGATTCTGACAGCTACAGGCATGATTTCCAGAGACAAAGACATGATGGGAGTTATAGTTTCAGCACAATTGGATTGCTGAGATTGCCTACTCCTGCAGTAGCAACACTGTCACTTTGTCTATACAGAACAAAATGAACGTGTCTCTGATGAGGACACCCAACCCCTATATACTTGCCTTACCTATATGCTGCTTTTTCCCCCTCAGAAGCTGGCTTAAGGGGAAGCATGTGACCCCGTCCCCTGTGACAGTCCCTGGGCCCTGTGGCCAATTTCTAGGCTTAGAGCACTGTCAAATGACTTGGGGAGTGACATCAGCGTTCACCAACACAACTCATTTCAGTGCCTGCTATAGGGAAGCAAGTAACTGTGGGAGGGCAAAGGTAAGGCAAGTATATGAGGGTCAAGGGAAGCTGATCAGGAAAGCATGGGCAGGGTGACAGTGTGTCTTTATGCTAGTGCAATATTATTAGGCTTGACTAACCTTTAACTAGTTAAAACATTAGAATGTCCATATGGCTTTACCATCCTTTTGCCATTCACAATGATTAAGGGCCATGTCACATTAGTGATCCTGAAGCTAGAGAGAACTTGCCTGCAGCTGGATCTCTTTGGAGGACAAATGCATGCAGTAAAATATCTCATCTGCTTGCATGTGTTGTTCCATTGCCAGCTGGAGAATCCAGGCAGCACTCTCCCGCAGCAACGTATGCTTTGCAAGAGCCACACCTTGCTGCTGATTCTGGCAAAAGTGCGACATACGCAAAGCAGGTATGTGTCCCCCTTGCTTTTTACAGCAATCCTATCACTGGCAAGTTCTCACTGGCGACAGGATCACTAGTGTGACATGGCCTCAAGTGTTTACTGTGTGTCAGTCAGGGCATTACAGAAGTTAAAAGGTGACTACATTACAGATAGTGCAAGAGTGTATAGATCTCTTTGCAAAATTAAGCAAACATTTACATTTCTGAGGACAACTGAATAATTATTCATTCTTTTCTTCAGCCTAAGTGTCCCTGAATGTACGCCGTTTACTGCAGTTTTAAAGTTTGCAGCAGAAGAGGTAAGCCGATTTCTGTAATTGTATGATACAATATGGCTGACTGCTTGTTTCACAGGAAAATTGTTAGTGCAGTTCTGAGAGGTTGAACTCTCATTGATGGATTTCTTTTCGCTAATGGAGAATATGTCTGCTGTTTGAGAACACTCAGAAACCTCCTGTTTACCTCAAAGAGTGGCAGCCCAAGGTGCAGGATTGTGAATTGTAGCGCCACATTCCGTTTATTAGTCCAGATATATCTTTATTCCATGTAGGGTTATGAGGACACTATAGAAATACTCCCAAAGCAGCTGCCAAAGAGCTCTATACATTCCCACACATTGGAAAAATGGCATCCGATTTTAAGGCATGACAATCCTGATACATGTTCTCCCTTAGTAATTCCTGATGGAGGGGGTATTTGTATGAGCCCCCGAAACGAGTTGGCTATTTCTGTAATGTCCCCTCACCCCTTCGTTGAATAAAGATGTATCTGGACTACTAAAGTGTTGTGCTTTGATTCCCAATCCAACAATTTGACACGTCAAACCAAGGAGAGAGTGGCGATCTTCTGGAATGTAGCAGCTGCCTGTCCGGCAGTCAGATCACTTATACCGATTCTCTCACATAAATGGCCAGCCACAACATAAGGATAAACTTTGTGCTTTCAGCTCTTTTATTCTACTTTTCTTCCAGAGCCCAAGGTATGCGGAAGTTAACCTTGGAATCATAGCTAGGCCATCTTGCTTTTGGGTTTTCATGTTATATTAAAAATGTCCACCGACAACGACTTGTTGGTGGACCTACTCTTCAAAGTATATGTGAGCCCAATCACTGCAATTTTTTTAAAACTTCAACATACTTTTGTTATTTCAAAAGTCATTTTAAATCTGCAGTTTCCATTAAAATAATAGTGATCCTGCCGAGGCTTGCCTTGTTCAGGCATTTCCTGTGAAAGGCTGACCACCCTCTTATGATATCTTCTAATTGTTCTCCTGCATTGTCACACAGGCTTCTGATGGAGACTAAATGTTATATAGTTAAAGTGACACTAAACTCAGGAGTTAAATCTTAAAAACGCATTGAAGTACCTTAACTATTAACAAAAATGTATCTAATTTGTGTATCACTCGGCTGTAGATGCCCAAATCATCTCTGAATTGGTGCTGACACTGTCCTTCCTTCTGGAGGGTGGCTGCTTTTGTTCCCCATGGTCCCTGTGTGTGTTGTAAAGTAGTCACCGCTCCAAGCTCACTCCTGTGATGGACTACAATCTCAATATAAATTAGTAAACTAAACCTGAGATTGTAGTCCATCACAGGAGTGATCTTGGAGCGGTGACTACTTTACAACACACATGAGGAACAAACGTAGCCACCCTCCAGAAGGAAGGACAGTGTCAACATGAATTCAGAGATGATTTGATGATCTACAGCCGAGTGATAGCCAGATAAGCTACATTTTAATAGTGAAGGTACTTGAATGCATTTTTAAGATTTAACTCCTGAGTTTAGTGTCACTTTAAGATTTACATCTACTTTAATAATGGAGTCCATTTCAACTTCAAAAGCAGGGATGCATGCTATAATTTTTTGGTATTAAATAATACTGGTATTCTCCAGCCTTCATGAGATGAGAGCCCATATCGCACAGTTCTACCTTCTGAAAAGGTCAATTTAGCTCTAAACTTTGGCAAGTTTCCTCTTTTTTCCCCTCCAGAACAAGGATGAAGGATGATATAAGTAGCAGTAATACCGATAGCTGGTCATGGCATGTATTATAATGATGGCATTCTCTTTATGTCACTGCTTTCACAGTATATGGAGAAATCATTTTATGAATGGCACTTCTTCTGCTGATATCCACAACTGAGAAATGACTGGAAAGGATTGACTTTTCAATCTTTTTACTGTAGACAAATATGTATATTTTTTTTACTGCATATTGCATATCTATGTTATAAGGCTGCTCAGTATCATCTGTTAGGCCTCAGGCATCTGAAAGATTTGCTGTCAGGAGCTCTGCAACACGTATGCACAATATGCAGCATCATTTTAAGCAAGAGCTTGAACAGGAAATTCTCCACATTTAACCATTTTCTTTGCTGTACTGTGGTCTGAAAAGGGTTTGCCTGGATCTGGGTTATAGGTGCCACACCCCTATGACAAGAGGTATCAAAAAGAAAAAGTTTGGGTTTTTCAGGCATAGAATGACAACTCCAGAGAGACAGTGGACGGTAAAAAATATTTAATTTTAATGTTGGTAGTATTTTAAAAAAGAGCTAGTATATAGCATAAAAACAATCAGCTGGTCAGATTGCTCCCTATGTGCTCACTCCATTCAACCTTCCATTACAAATGTACATGGTGAACATTTGATCAAAACAATGCACAATAAGCAATAGAAGAGAGGCATAAACTGGTTATGATTTCAGCAATAGAGCATCAAACGGTACAAAGTAGTAAATGGTGTGGTTGATAGTGGAGGAGCAGTTACTCAACGTTTTGCACACACAGGCGCTTCTTCAGGAGAAGGGAATATCTGCATAGTTTAAAAAGAGCATAATGATAAACATGATCCATATAATCGTGATTATCTGTATATCAGTTGTTTGAATAAAAAGATTACCTACCAATGTCACAAGCTGACATGTATGTATCCTAGCGGGTCCGTCCGGGCACCACACCCGTATAGTCCTTCCTAATGATGACAGGGATGGAGCAGGGGCCAGTCCCCAATATTGAGTAGGAGGTAGGCAAAGCAGTGACACCTTAAATAAATGAAAAGAAATGGGGGCCTATTCAAATAACCATATTGTGAATGAGCCCTCTACATAGTGGGGGAGCCACCCTCCTCAAACAAATAGGCCATGCATGAAGGCATAACAGCCAAATTTAAACAGGGGGGTATAAAATCTATGGAGACTGGGACTTGCATAGAAGTTTTCAGACCACCAGGTTGCTGAACCACCAGGGAGAGCAGAGAGAGCGAGCAAACACGCCCGTCCCCTCCGTCGGTACAAACAGCCTCCTCCACGTACTCCCAAGCCTCCCACAATCAGTGCCGTTGCCCCAGCACCGCACAGTGATGTCGGTGGCTTGTGCGGGCGCTATAACGTATAATTTGCTGTACTGTGGTCAGAGCTGACAGGTTCACTTTAATGGGTTACTACACTTAAATTGCATAATTCCTTCTTAAATTGTTTTTTATAAGTCAGCCCGCCCAACCCTGCCATATTTTTTGCTATGGTGAAATGTTAATCGGGTTGAGCCACCCATTGATTTTTCTTTTTGGAGAGAGGGTACTCCAGAGCTGACACTTTTTTTTTTTTTTTGCTGCAGATGGTAACTATTACCTCTTGCCTGTGTTATGTTGCAATCATCATCGGTTAGAAAATATTGTAAAAATCCTTTTTGTATTTCCATCTGACATTTATTTTTATTGATTTTTCTCATAACCATAACAAAAAAGAGAAATGACACAATACATTGTTCAGAAAACACTTCTGTCTTCCTTGCTCCTTACGTATATATATTCCCCCATATTGACTTGCACCCCCATTATTCCTAACATCATTGTAAATGCTTTCACCTTAATTCAATCAAAAATAATATTTCAGGTGTGACCCGAATACCGCACAAAGACAAAAACACTTTCTTGAAGCGGACCATTACCCCCTTTGACTAAAAATCACATCAGCATGCAGCTCTGCATGCTGATATGAAATTATCTTTAACATCATTAGCTGAACAAACATGTGTTTTATTTTTATTACAATTTCTTGTTTCCCCTTCCTGGTGATATAATTGTGCCCGAGCATTGCATCCTGGAAAGGTTATATCAGCAGAGCATTGCTGGGAAATCTTGTCTGTAGTTTCATGAGATCTCAGGGAAAGGCATTTTTTCCCCTCTGTGATGATGTGCATGGTCACATGTCCTAGTCACATGTGCCAGAGTTCCAGGAAGTAAACAGAGAGCTAGTAACCTGCCCTTAGTTAACATGGCCACTGTGAGAAGACGGGGGAAGAAAAAAAAAATCCTGCAATTATCTAGAAGTATGTGATTGTAGATTGTCATTACTAAACCTTTCTAAAGGTGTCTTTGCTGTTATTTTAAAGATATGGGTAAAGGAACATTTTAAACTTTCTCTCTGCCCTCTACGCCCCCCCTCTCCTCTTTTAGCTCTCCCCTCTGGGACAGGCCACTCAGCTTTTTAATTAAATCCCTAATAATATATTGTCAACATTAGATGGCATATCATCTTCAATCCTATGCTTCCAAACCTCTTGAAATTTAACTATCACTAGAAATTGCCCAAAGTTTTTCAGTAATTAAATACCACATACTTTTATTTTTAAGCTGCTAATCTGCTTAAGCTGCTGAAATGTCAGACTTCCATGATTTCACCAGTATTTGTTTAGCCTCCGTAAAAAAATAAATGTTACCAGTTTAAATGGAATGTTTTTGTTTTTTGTTTTAATTAGATTGTCATAGGAAAAAGTAAGTAGACCCCATGGAAATTGTGGACTGTATGAACATATATGAACAGGCCACCATTAGATCATAGTTCAGACAGTGCCTACAGGTGAAGGTGATATACGTGAACAAATAACACACATAACTGACATTGTGCATTCACTCTTGCAATCAAATTGAACATCATTTGTGAACACTTTCCGTGGGGTGTACCTCTTTTTTCACATCACATTACTGTAAATGTGAATATTAACATTATCGGGGTTATTCACTAAAAGGTGAACAGGTTGGAGAAGGTGAACAATCTCAGACAATATAGCTGAACTGGAAATTGAGCTGAATTGGAGAATTTTTCCACGTCAGCTATTTTGTCCTAGATTGTTCACTTCTCCTGTCTTCTCCAAACTCTTCACCCTTTAGTGAATAACTTTGTATATACTAATCACTTGTGCCTGTGGTAGGGGGAACTGTAGGCTCCCTGAAGGCTCTTTGTTGCAGCTGTTGTGCAAAAAATAGGCCACTAAAGAACTCTCCCTCCACAACAGAGGGCAATATGTGATATAGTCAGTCTGTGGGAACTTCCACAATGCTGGGCCTTCTAATAAGAATGTCAGCTTGCTTTTCAAACTGAGTGTCATTATCATACCCTGCTATGAATGTTTATTTATTACACACTTAATAAATGTTTATTCAATAATGAATTTGTGTTATGGTGTACAAGACATTGAGGGGGATTTATCAAAACTGGAGCAGACAAAATCTGGAGCATCTGCTTCAGGTTTAATAAATTCCCCCCATTGTTTGACTTAAAATTAAAATTCATCCTTGGATACAACTTTACACTCTAAAAAGGAAAATGCAACCACTATTTCAATGGCGGCAGCAGCAGGTGGTTGGTGCCGAGAATTCAGGTGCAGAGATCTCTCTAAGAATTGGTAACAATAGCAATAGCATCAGAATTCATAGGTTGATGAATGGTTATGTGCTCCAGCATCTATCCATAATGGAAATACCAGTTCTGGGAGGACTGACCCTTTAATAACAGCCATGGGTAAACATTTGCCAATGTTGCTAGTACAGAAGACTAAAAGAGGGAAGGAGTGTTTTTAAACACCTAGCAGACTTACTGTTCAGGATTCCCATGGATGAAAACTGCCAATTAGCTTACTGCCTTAACATAGATGCTTCAGAGGGCACAATGGAATACATTGGAGGGAATTTATTAAAGCAATTGCAACAGTTTTAGCCTCTTAGATAATTTTTTTAAATGTGCAAATCTGTCTTTTAACAGGTGCCCCTGTTTTCACCTGAGCTTGCAGTACTTTTCCAATTGCACCTGTTTTCATCTGCACTTGTTCTGGGGCTGTATGAAACTGGAGCATCACCTAAGAAAACACTCACAACTTAAGTCCCCATGACCACTTTGTCTAAGTGACAGTTAAACGAGAACTATGGGGTCAGGGCTTTTCCCCATAGTTGTCCTTAGGGTAACGGGAGGACACAAACTAGCGTCCTCCCGATACCCTAAGACTAGCAATATAAATCTGGTGCAAATATATTCCATGCAAGGTCAAACACTCGCAAATTCCTATGATAAAGTCCCCCCTTTGTGTATACAGGTGTAAATATGTTTAATTACACGGTTTACTTATTTGTAGATGATAATAGTGTTTTCAAGTGCATTCCACTCCCTTTCCCCCACCACAAAAAAAGCAAGCACTGTGAGACTGCAGTTGACATCCCCAAGGCTGTACTCTTCTGTTTCTCAGCCTTGCTATAATATCTTACTATATAGTATAATGATATAATAAAACATTGCTATCCAAATGATGCTCATTTACTGTTACACAATACACCTGCTGTTCTACCGTGCACGTTCCTATCGTGGATCCCAATTTTCAGGATTATTTCCGATTGCATGTTTGACTTTCCATAATGTGATTTTTCTGAGATGGACTTCGTAAATGAGGGCAGGCGGCTGTAAAGAATTGCTTCCTAGTCCCTTTTTTTGCCCAGCTGATTAAAATGTCAATGCAGGAGTGGGTTTCCATAGCAACCGCTATTGTGATGATGACATGAAGAACCCTGACAGCCTTCTTTCCACTTGCTGTTCCTGGGTTTGAATTTGTATCCGATTTGCCGTAGCCAGTTCTTTGCCTGTAATAGTGTTGCAGTGTCTGTTCTGCATCAGGTCTATGTAAATTCATGCAGCGCTTTATTCTAGGTACAGGCTTCAAATATTTCCCACAATTAAAGTTTTTCCCTGAAATATTTGCTACTTGAATTCTCATTTTTTAAAGGAAAGCAAACATTACACATATACATGGGGTTTCTATTGTGAGAAAAAGAAATTTGAACTTTCAAGTATTCAGAAAAGCACTTATAGGAGTTTTCTACTAAGCATAGTACAGAATTTTATGAAATAAAAAACACTTTGTGGCAAAACATTCTCCAACACTGACACAACAACTATCACTGTGTATATATTTAAAGTTGATTACTTGGGTGCAGACTACAGGTCTATATAGATGTGGTGATGCTAGATGTTCCAGAGTCATAAGGTCCTGCTATACTAATAATCAATATGAAAGCAAGCAGCTTATGAACTGTAATACAACATGTGTTATATATGTGTTGACTTACAAGATTTGAAGGTACAGGATGTGGGTAAAACAAGTAGAAGACTCTGATGAAGGATTACTTGCACGATATAAAATCAGGTAAAAAGACCAGTGTAGCCAGACATTTGAAACATCTCCATGATGGGAACATTTAGTCTTTAACGGAACAGGGTATATAAAGGGCAGATAGTCCAGTTAGAGTAGGAGACAGGATGTTACTGAATGGGAGAGGTCTACTGGGTATTTATTGTGTAGACTAGGATAGCATAAGGATTTTTTTTATTTATTACAGGCATGTATATAGCGCCGACAATTTATGCAGTGCTTTACATAGTGCACATACACATCAGTCCCTGCCCCTGAGGAGCTTACAATCAAAGGTCCCTATCTCGCATGCATACATACAGGGCTAATTTAGACAGGGGCCAATTAACCTTCCAGCATGTCTTTGGAGTGTGGGAGGAAACCCACGCAAGCACAAGGAGAACATGCAAACTCCTTGTAGATAGTGACCTGGCTGGGATTCGACCCAGGGACACCCAGCCCAGAAACGCTGATCACTACACCACTGTGCTGCCCAGTTAATTAAACTTTGGCATTTTTTACAGTAATATAAATGAAAATGTGTTTTTACCTCCTCTGCTGTCTGTGTGTGTGTGTGTGTGTGTGTGTGTGTGTGTGTGTATATATATATATATATATATATA